GTTGGTGTCTTCCTGGTAGGAGGCTCATCGGTCGGGTTATTAAAATGTCGGTGGTGAATGCACTGTGTGCCTCTAATGACAGGTCTGTCTGAAGTCTGGCAGACAGCACAGCAAGCTGCCTGCCACATTATTACTATCCCATTAGAATAAATTAGCATGATCAGCTCTGTAGGAGCAGCCTGGCCTGGGTTAGACTATATAAAAATGTCACAGGGCTCCGCATGCTGGATCCCATCTAGATAGGAACTAGAGCGACGGGACAGTCACTAATCAATGTCTCATTATGTGATACGGCAGCGTAAATGACTGACAGATGCACTATTTCTCTAGTCATATAGCGAAAACTCCGGCCTTGATTTGAATGTGCTTTATCTAGGCCAACGCTGGCCAGAGCAAATGATTAACTGCTCTGACTCATGCTTCAGAGGCTTGTACAATTTGTTACTTTGTAGTTAAAAGCCGTAAAAAGCACAATAAGTCACAGTCACGTTTCATTTAATGGCCGAGTGACTGCGACTTCCGACCTCGCGCTTTTAAAGAGAGCCCACAGTTGCCACTGCATGGATAATGGATGATATGAACGGACTGAATATCAACAAGTCACTCCACCTGTCCCTTCAAGCTTTTATCCCACAATTTCCTTTATCGATTATCGCCCACTGAACTGACCACAGATCAATCCGTTCTCCTGTCAATGCCTGGCCCTAGGAGCAGAGTCGATATGTGATGACTCTGTAGGAAGCTTGGCAGAGTGTGACACCAGCAGACACGCACATGGAACGACGCCCTTTCACCCTCTCTCGACTCTCTCCTTCCTCAGTGACGCAAACGAGCACCTATGACCCCATGTGACCTGATTCTCCTGCAACTGTGACACTGCTGCAAAGTTTAAAGCAGCTGCTCAGATTTGCATAACTAAAGCGGACATGCAGTGAAATTCAAATTTACCAAGAACTCTATTAAGAGGAGCTGCAAGAGCATTAAATGGAAAACAAGATGATGGATCAGCATAAACTCACCTGAGATGCTTTAGGTAACAACTATCCATCTTAGTGCCACTTTTTCCCTTTTTGTTGGGGACGGGAAAGTGTTCTGAAGCCATGAGCAGTTTTTCTTTATTTCAACTCGTGTTTAATACATAGCTGTTTTCCTGAGTCAAAGTTTATTATTCAAAGGTGCGTTCAAACACTGCTACATTTGCACTTTGGTTTGGATCATTTAGGCTGATGTGGAAACTCTCAATCAAACTCCAGTGTGGATCACAGAACCAGACTGAGACCTCCCTAAAGGTGGGTCTCGGTCTGGTTCCAATGGGAATTCCAAATGGGAATTTTTCTGATAGCAGATCAGTAATTTTAGCATGATTTCAGAAGTTAAACTACTTAAAAATCCATCCGCTGATTTGGAGCTGTCAAGGAAGCAATCTGCATCAGCAATCAGTATAATTATGCAAGATAATTTGGTATCCATGGTAACATGAATGCACTTCAGCATGTGCAGGGATTTCCTCTAATTAATCAGAGTTAATAGCAGTTAATACAAAAGTGTATTGTGTTTGTTCATACATGTGAAGTGAAGTGAGCCAGCCTTGTAAAATCACTGTCCAAAATGTCCCATTGTCCCATTTATACCTGTCCATCATTGTTTATTACATGTGAGGTCCAGTGCAGGCTCAACTAATGATGCTGATAATCAGTTATTTCTTCAGGAGCTCTATGTGTTACATTAGAAGTGGTAAAGTGCTGCATCACTTGCAATCAGTTACCACAACTTGATTTCCTCATGTGGGTCCATGCAGCGCTAATGATGCAGGATAACATCACCAAAACTGCACCTCTTGGTTTGTCTGTAATATGTCACAGAACACAAAACAATGTATGTCATTTTAAGACAGACTAAACAAACCAAAATAACCTGTCACACTCACATTGAGTAACAGCCAGCTAAAATGGAAAATATGTCGACACATGGTCTTCTTATGGCATTAGAGCGAGCTAACAAGTGGGCAAGCAGTCAATGTTCTCTCCTCAGACAGGTGATAATAAGTGCCAGACATGGAGGTATTCAAATGTCAGCGCTCACTTCGTTATCCCTGCTATTCATCATGAGGGACACTATGACTTTGAACATTTTTTGACTTTCTATATTTCTTTTTTGCTTTCTTTCCTTCTTTTTTGTGCTTTATTTATTCCCTTTTTGCAAACTCTTATTCCCTCCCATTGCTACCCCTCTTTGTTTTTTTATGTTTTTACTTTTGTCATCACGGTACTTTTGGTACCATTAAAGCTGGGCATACACTGTAAGATTCGAACCCATTTCTTAACCCAAGTTTTTGGCACATCTCATTTTAAGCCCAGTTCAGACCAAAGATTTGCATTGAGATGAAACCGTCTTAGAACGTTGCAGAGAAAAGTTGCAGCAGTGTGAACTGGCGGGTCTGAGCTAGACTCAAGCCGGCTGATGGTGTCACCTGCAACTCAGCTGGTCAAAATGCCAGATGTTGGTTTTAGAACGTAAAGCACATCATCTGTTTTAAAAGCCAATCAACCTGTAGTAAAGTCCACTTGTCAGACAGCATGTTCGTTTGCGCCGGCAGGTGCTCCATCTCCGCCAAGCCCTCTGTTTCTGTCCTCATGGTGTGCCAGTGTTGGATGCTGGGTCGCTCGCTGTATTTGCTTATGCCCCTTCCACACACACACACAAACACACACACACTCTCATTGACTGATGAATTGGCACTGATTATTTATATTATTGTGGCGTATTTATTATGACTATAGTCCATCTGATGCTCATTTTCCTTCTGGTTTTTTGGAAGCTATAAATTATATTCAGCCACAAAATAAGCCTGAAGGGCTGGAAATCAGAACGGAGGTACGGAGAGTTGTTGCATAGAGATGATATAGCATCTCATCTAGTTACAGTGGTGTGAACTGGCAGGTTTTTAGAAAGCTGCAGAACGGCTAATTGCAAGTAGTTGCCTGTTTTGTCTCATCTCATCACGAATCTTTGGTCTGAACTGGGCTTTACAGTCAAACAGAATTTCAGCATTGCTGGCCTTTGTTTGCCATGAAGTGTACAGGGAGTGAGGGGGCGAGGACTGATCATGGCCTGATCAACTGCTCCCGACCAGCCTTCGTCAGAGGGCTGCAACTGGATTCCCCAAAGTCAGTACTTTTTTTCCTCACTGTACTTGGCAAAGGGGCAAGCAGTGCTTCTGAAAGTCCCATGGAGACATGATGCACCATATGGTTGGAAAATGTGGAAGCCAGGTTGGTCAAACTATGGCAACATAGTTAACATGTGCCTCTTTGATGCTTCCTCCTGCTCCTATCACAAAGCTATGAACGAAAGAAACACTGGCAATTAGGCATTGTTGTGAGTCATACTGGTGTTACGTTACAGACCTCTGCTAGCAAGGAAACTTCTACCTGCCTCGGTGCTTTCAAACAAATCTTTATTGTCTGTAGGGTCCAACAGGCTGTTTTGTTTTCTATTATACACATCCAGTGTCAGCACTGAGGTCGTGCCTTAATGATCAGACAGTGCTAGCACATACATCGTGAGCTTTGTTTACAGTGCAGACAATTTACTAGTACACATAAAGTAAAACTTTACAGTGTATAACTAGCTTAAGATAGTATGTAAAACAACTCACCTCATAACTACTGATTTTTCCCGTAATTTCATATCTGATATATGTCACATAAATTCTCTGTCTATTTCCAAGTTATCTCTGAAAAGATACCATGCATGTAGTGAATTTTTCAGGTGCCATTTTCATTTGCTGCAACATGGCATGAAATTGAAAAATCAAATTCTGTCTTGTACATAATTATATACACATTTCCGTGAAAGTCAGCGAGACATATTTGGAGTCTTTGGAAATGTTGGCAGGTTCATATTGATTTGTGTCAATTTTGCTACAAGCTAACGGTGGCTGACACAACACTGATTCCAATTTTACAAAGTTCACAAAAGTGTTTGTATGTGCAGTCCTGAAATCGAAGACATAAAAATAAAGTCCTGCAGCAGCTACAGCAGTTTGTGGTATGCATTATATCAAGTAATTACAGTCAGGGAAAAAGAACTATGTGGTGAAGTCACAGCACAGCAACAAGCGCCAAACATGTCGCCACTAATATAAAAGGAATCAGTCAAAGATCTCTCAGATTACTTTCAGTGGTTATACAGAGTCCTGCTCATGTACTTTTTCCTACACGCTCCCTCTCTCTAACCTTGACCCGAGCAGCTTGCTAACTGAATCACATCAATAAAGCGAAAAGAGACGCATTGCATTCATGAGTTTGGAATTAGTTTAGCTCAAACTCATTTCATCATCTGTGAAAAGTTAGCTCCCTGAAGTGCACTTACTCTCACAGTGGCAACCTAAACCTCCGACACATAAATAGACCAGCAGCAGACAGCTGCCCCCCCCTGCAGCGCCTTCCCACCCACTCCCCCACCCAAAATAGGATTCATCACAGGAATAAATCTCATCACAATCACGTAATTATAATTTGTAGGCAGGAAATGAATTAGAGGATGAGAAACGGGGAGAGCTGGCCATGGATGTGACACGGTGAGGTTTGCCTGAGTGAGAAGTTCATGTCAACAGTTCAGAGAGTGCATGAACTTTAAACATCCCCACATACACATGCAGATTAATAACAAGCCCTTACCCAGAATCTCAGAAGCAACTGATAATGTAATATCTGCTGGATAATGTCTGATAATTGGACATCAAAATCTAATTAAATGTTCTAATAATACACAATATGATTACAACATATGTTCATGGTTGTTTGATTTCTTTGGCTGAGAGTTCAGGGGAATGAAGCTGTAAGGAAGTTGTTGGTTTGAATCCCTCGACCAGGTGGCAAATTGATGTTGGGGAGAAATGTATGCAGGAATAAAGTAATCATAAAGTAAGTTAGATTCTGCATCCTCAGTTGCTACACAAACAGACAGACAGACCCCTCAGCCCCTGTGTCATTTACCTATGGTGTAGCCTCTCTTCAGCTCACCACACCGGGGGCTGCGGCGCTGGGAGTTGGTAGTGTTGTTTTCCTGCACGGCAAGGACGGTCGTTGTCTTGGCAACAGGTGGTGCAGCCTTGTTGAGGGGCGAGGCTGGCACCAGAGTCGGGGAGAAACCTTGACTGGCTATATCCACCGACTGAGACTTCTTCTTCAGTCTGCAGGGGGACAAGCAAACCACAGAGGCAGAACATATTATCATGTTTGTAAGATTAAAAAATATTTTATGTGCCAAGTGTCATTGTGAATATGCAGTGGAGTGGGAAATGTTGTGCGACCTTCACTGTTCAAAGGCAAGTCTATCAAAGCATATTTGCATGTGAGGTTGTATATGCCAATGTGCCGTGTCACAGAAATGTAACCGTGCAAGACAATTTTTGCAGCGGCAAGGAAGTTCGGGGAAATAATCAATAGGCTAATCACACTCTTGTTAAGGGTGAATTTATTAGCATGGCTCTGCTGGCTCAGTGCAGAGCTCTCTCTACAGTAAAAAGGGATAAAGCAGGGGGATATCGGAGGAGGACAGCAGGAGTCCAGAGAAAACCTTACTGGAGACAAAAACTTCAGTGAGTAACAACCTGCAGAACAAATGTTGAAGCAAATGTATGGTACTCTATGGTGGTGGAAATGTTGCAGATGATAATTTATGTTTTCATTTCATCCCATCTAGCCCACTGTAACTCTCCTTTCACCCATCTTAGCACAACATCCTTGGATCTTTTACAAGTAGTCGAGGATTGCTGCACCACAGCCTTGAACCAGGTCCTTCAGATTCTTCAGAACATTTCTAGAGCACTTCATGCTCAGGCATCTGTCTACATTGTCAAAACCTGGCACCTACATTAGCCACAATACAACTGAACAACCAAAAGTTTAGTAGAAGATATGGATGGGTTATACTCAGCTTTTTTTAAACATATAAAGCAACTTTTCTGATGACCTATAAACAGATTCTGATATGTAAACTGCTGTAGTTACCCTTTTATAAGCATCTTAAAGGTATGATGTATTAACAAAATAAAATCCCCTTTTTGATACTATTTATGGTCAAAATTTTTTCTGCAATAGTCATTCACTGTATTTACAATCTGTAAATATCTCTCTTTATATCTTCATTGTTAGTGGCGGACTCTGCCACTTCCACACTGGATTCAGATTGTAATGTAATTTCTAAATGAAAATGTCAGCAACAGTCTAGAATGACAGATTATTCCATAAAGACTGAGTGCGTTTACATGGACATGAATAACTCTTTATGAGGGTTATCTCAGTTATGGTCATATTCATGACATAATGAGAAAATGAATTATTCATATTCCCTGTATACATAAAAAAATACTAGTAACCTGGATACTTATTTATTTATTAGTTATTGCAGTCTATTTGCACATGCACTGTGATGTTTACCAAAACCAGTAATGGGAGATGAGAGTGACACTGCAGCGATATTGAACAATACACTGTACATTAACTACCACTTGACAACTTAACTGCTTATTTCTTCTCTGCTCCAATCTCCCACAACTGTCTCAATGTCTCATTCGCTCTCAAAATTACATACACACTATGTCTTGAGCTATTTCTAAAAGAAGCGAATGTTATGCTACTCTCATATTACAGCTCTTCACACCAGTTTCAGCCTGTTACTGTCACCACATATAGAACAGGGAAGCAGTGGATGAAGTTATGCATCCTCTTTGATAACCAAAACATTTCTCCTAAAGCTGTGCCTGCGCGATCATTGCCGGCGCTCGATAACCAGGACAAACTACAGTACAGGCCAAAAGTTTGGACACACCTTCTCATTCAATGCGTTTTCTTTATTTTCATGACTATTTACATTGTAGATTCTCACTGAAGGCATCAAAACTATGAATGAACACATGTGGAGTTATGTACTTAACAAAAAAAGGTGAAATAACTGAAAACATGTTTTATATTCTAGTTTCTTCAAAATAGCCACCCTTTGCTCTGATTACTGCTTTGCACACTCTTGGCATTCTCTCCATGAGCTTCAAGAGGTAGTCACCTGAAATGGTTTCCACTTCACAGGTGTGCCTTATCAGGGTTAATTAGTGGAATTTCTTGCTTTATCAATGGGGTTGGGACCATCAGTTGTGTTGTGCAGAAGTCAGGTTAATACACAGCCGACAGCCCTATTGGACAACTGTTAAAATTCATATTATGGCAAGAACCAATCAGCTAACTAAAGAAAAACGAGTGGCCAACAGTATCCCAGTTTCTGTCAGAGTACTCCAGGTAGCATATTTGAGTTTCTCATAAACAATATAATGTCTTATCAGGGTCTCTGAAAACTGGACATGGTGTTTACATACTCAAACTCCAAGAACCTGATGATGAACGGCTTTTCATGTCCATGTAAACATTCATTCTCTTTTAAAAGAAAAGGCCTTAGAAGAAGACTGCTTATGTAAAGTGTATCAAAGGCCAGCTGAGCCGGGTCACGTCAAATCTGCTGAGGACAACTCCTCAAAGCCTATTAAAAGGATGACGAGATCCTGGGTTTGGGTTTGCACAGTTAATAAATTAGTTCACTAGGCTAATCTCAACAGGTAATCCCAAAAAACTCAGCAGCAGGTCTATCCACTTACATATGTTCTCACAGTCACATACAGACAGAACACACATCATAAGGAAAGTAAAAAAACAAGATCATCGCTGGGAGCTCCAGTAAAAACTTGGCATAAAAAAAGGAGAATGGCTCCTGAAACACTATCTATCTGTGGTCTAAAAAAAGTCCTGAAACAGCAATACAAGATTCCCAGCACTCCGCTCCTTCGCACACACTTTCAATCATTCCAGCAAAACTGCTGAAGCATACAGAATCTTTCTGGCCATTTCACCCAAGTGCCCATCCCCTGATAGACCAAAGCAGCACACATGACATAGTGTCTAACTGGCTAATGAAAATGCATAATCTCCATGGAAATGCTGTCCATCACTGTGTGTGTGTGTGTGTGCGTGTGTGTGTGTGTTATTTCCAAATCGAACAAACCCAAACAGTCCGGGGGAGGAGGCAAACAGAGTAGGCTGAGCTGTGAATAAACACCAGAAGAAATTATGTTCTGCTTCACAGAAGTGTTCCCCAAAGTCTATTTAGTCTCAAAGAAACTCACTCACTGACCCTTTTTTTTTTTTTTTTTTTTTACAAATACATTCACCAAAACTAAAAACAGCCCTTAATGGACTGCATTTCTTTCTACATTTTTTTTAACGATTTTTTCTAGCTAAGGTTCTTTCTTTTCCTAACAGAGCTGCATGTGGTGGAAGTTTTCATGAAGCTAAAAAAAGGTAGATGGAGTTGAATGGATACACCAGATTGTGCTGATGACTACTTTGAGGAAAGCTGCCTGTTTGTTTGGATGGCACATAATGAGGCTGGAGAATGAGCGAGAACTGCTGTTAATGGCTGTGGAGGACGGGAGAGAGACAGACACGGAGACAGAGAGGAAGAGTGTCAAGCTGTGTGAAGTTTATCTCCACTCCCTTAGGAGTTGGTACTAATTACTGTCTAATCAGTAGAGCAGAAGCCCTTCTTCTAGCTCTGTTTCACTGAGCTACAAGGCCAAACCACATCAAAACAGAATGTGTGTGTGTGTGTGTGTGTGTGTGTGTGTGTCAGAGATCAAATGAGAAGGAAGAAACAGAATCCATGTGTTAAAGTTTACATCTCAAAGAAAGATGGAAACGGAGATGGGTAAACAGAATGACAGTGTGTGTGCAGTTCATTCATGCCTTTTTATAGCATGACAGCAGAGTTCAATCAAATAGCAATTTATTCATGGAGAACTTCTTCACAGGTGGGACGTAACAGTGACAGATGCAGCACAATCTTGTGTCAGTCAGTCCCAGCAAAATGAGACAATGCAGGCTAAGCTCATTAAAGTAACGTATTTGCTGTCAGTTATCAGTTGCTAACTCAGCAGCTAACAAGCAGAGCTAAATGCTAACAGCTACTGCTGCCAACAACAAACTCCACAAATCTGTTTAACAGCTCCACTACCCACAGTCAGGCTAGCGAAGCATATGAGCACTATTAACTGGTGTTAACCCATCCCGGGTATGATCTCATACAGCAGTAGAAAGTAACTGCAAGCAAAGCTGTTCTCAGCTTCCTAGTTTAAATAATTTTTTTCTAATACATTGAATAAAATAATTTAAACAGGGCCAGCACACCTACAACCCAGAGGTGGATCCAGTTCTTCAGGCAAGGGAGAGAAACGCAGCGCTGCACCAAGAACGAGCAGTCCCTCCTATCACTAGGAAGCGAGTGGCAGTTAGCTGCCGACCTCGACCGCCAGCTGAAATTCCCTGCAGAGATCACTATGTCATCTCTATGTCCAGACATCGTGCTCTGCTCAGTTCCTGCCAGGACAGTTATTATGGTAGAGCTGACCGTCCCATGGGAAGAAGAGATGGAGGCTGCACATGAGAGAAAGAAGGAGAGGTACGCAGAACTGGCAGCCACGTGCTCGCAAGCTGGATGGAGAGCATTCACTTTCCCAGTGGAAGTCGGGTGCAGGGGCTTCACTAGAACATCCACACAGCGACTCCTGAAAACTCTCGGAGTTACAGGTCCCAAAAGGAAGCGGGCCCTCCAAGATCTGGCGGAGGAGGCAGAGCAAGGGTGCTTTTGGATCTGGCTCCGGAGGAAGGACAAGGCGTGGGGAAGGGAAGGATCCTAAGCAGGCTGCAGGGGATGGTAGGGAGACATCCCTACCGCTGCCCCACCACCCCGAGATGTTCTGGGCATAATGGGGCGAAACCTCTGACAAGGGTGGCTCCTGGCTAATGACCCTGCAGCCTGCACAATGGCACCGTCGGAGGTGCGACAGGCAGGAATGCCAAGCAGGTAGAAGCACCTGTGCTTACACGTACCATCACTCTGTTCTTCTCTCCTCTAATGTTGAATGTCCACTAGCCCACCACCACTAACATTTTAGACATGTCGTCAGCAAAAACAAAGCATACATTTCGTCACTCTGTCATGAAAAAATTTTGTTCCACTGTCGTGGTAGAGACTTGTCAATCTCAAGGTAGCCACACCCTAAAGCACACCCTGCTTTATTGTCATTTTACTCTAAACGGGACCATAATTTACAAAATGAACATCACGCTGTACTCAAGAAGACTGTTT